TATGCAAAATAACTATAAAAAACGTCAATTTAAAGCACATAACCAAAACTAGGTAACAACTTCTCATACAATGCTCAAATGAGGTGTTTGAGTATACCAACGTGATCTGCTCAACCTCACGAACATCTCCATATTTTTAAAATAATTTTCTAACGACCCACGCGCCGACCACGCGCAGCAAAACCTTAATTGGGCCTAATGGCCATTAGGAATATTTCGTGGATTATTCTGTTAAAACCTTAACAGAAGTTAATGGCCGTTACCTAACGCCGTTAGAATATTCCGTTAACTCTGATGGAATATTCGTCTCCTTCTCCGGCAAGCCTCGCCGGTCACCGCCGTCTTCAACTTGAATTTTCGCTGGAAACTGGAAAATATTCAAATCTTCATATCTTCTTCATTTCTCAACCAAATTCCATGAAATTTGTACCAAAATGAAGCTTACAACGAGTAGAACAAAACCTTACCACTTTCAAGCCTTGAAATCCACGGGATCACGCCGGAGGAACCTCGACATTCCGGCCAAACCTGCAACTCACTAAACTGGGCTTCCCGACATCCAAAACACCTTGTTTTTCTTCTCCGAGCTTTGTGAGAGTGTTCTAAAGCTTCCTAGAAGCTTAAAAACTTCTAAAAACTTCACCATCACGTGTGCATGAACAATGCCTCAAATCGAAGGTTGTGGTTCTCGGTTTTGCGACGGCTTCACATCCTAAAAAATGGTATGGATGAGTTCCTGGGCTTGCTAGGAGTCCAAAACCAACCTTCAAGCCTTCAATCCGCGCGTGGAAAGTTGGCTTCAAAGTTTGTCTGTGCGGGTTGTAAAGGAATGGAAGAAAATCCGAGAGAGAAAGAAGTGAGAGGCGGGGTCAACGGCGAAAGGGATTGGTGTGTGTGTGTGTGTGTGTCCAGTTTGCACCCAATCAAAAACAAAACACCCACTACACCAACTAATGTCCAAGGGTAAATCGTCATTTCACGCCAATGTTACAATTATTTCGGGACGGGCTGTCATAATTTTCTTTATAATAATATTCTCTATGATTTTAATTATGAATATGCGTAACTAATCCATATTGCTAGGGCAAAGCCTTAAGCCTTAGCATGAATATGTAATTTTTTTATTAATTACTTATGATTGATTGCATGCATGCTTTGAATTATTGATCATTGTTTTAAACTATCTAATTGTCTTAGTGAATGACCACCATTAGGAACTTTAAAAATGTAATTTGATACAATTTTGGTCAGAAGGTTCCCTGAAATTGACATTAGCTTCTTATGATTAATAATTGTAATTTCACTTAAGATGAACACCACGTCTTAGGGGTTGCATGGTTTTTCAAAGGGTTTTCGTAAAGCATAATGAGTCTCTCATGTTCATATTTGATCCGAATGTTCGGACGGATTGCATGTTAGATATACATTCTATGTTGGAGGTTCCAAGTAGAATATAAATTAGGAAAATCTATCCTTCAAAGTGGCATGTGCAGATCATAAGTGATTGGTAAAAATTCATAGGATTGCTAGATGATGGTGGAACCTTAGTGCTTTTATATATTGATATTTAAAACTCTTCTCTTTTACCGTATTAGTTTTGGACAAATTTACACAAATTCAAAATCTCTTTTCTCAAATTATAAGTTTAAGTAGTCAATTAGGAATTGTTTTTACATAAATTATTAAAATAATCCTTATGGAGAACGACCTTTCATGAACATCTAACACACCCCGACCCGGAATGTCCATTAGGACCCCGAATCGAGTTGTGCTGGCCGACACCAGGAAGATGACGAAACCATAAAGTGTGATAGTGTATTAAATGTGAATAAATTAAAACCTAAAAGTGCCTAAGTACACGAGTGTGCGATGAGCGGGTTTGGACCCATTTCACGCGTGATACAGAGTATAGGTAAAGTACAGTAAGGTAAGATAATGATTATACCATCATAAGAAGACATATGTACTGAAAAGTGCAACGAATCCTCATCGATACGGAATTCTGCTGCTATAACTTGGAGGGGTGCAAAAATAGAAAATCTGAGTAAGCGAAACAAAACTTCTCAAATCAATTTCAATCACCAAAGGCGGTAACCCCTTGCCGTAATACCTGTATAATTTCCCAGAAAATAACAGGCGTAACTATAACTCAAAACCATAACCAAAATAACAGTCTCACAACTATGCCGTGTCAAATATCTCAACAAGAATAAGTAACCCAGGTGAACTAAATCAATATGAAATGGTATGTCAGCTGGATCCACATATTGTGGCTTGTACGGCTGAACCAATAACTCATCAACATGCTAGCCGGAGTCACCTCACGTGACCTGTTCGACTGACTCAATAACATGCTAGCCAATAGCTCATCAACATGCTAGCCAATAACTCAATAAGATTCTGGCCAATAACTCAATAACATGCTAGCCATTAGCTCATCAACATGCTAGCCAATAACTCAATAAGATGCTAGCCAATAGCTCATCAACATGCTGGTCAATAGCTCAATAAGTATACCTGCACACGAGTCGGAACCACCTAAAGTGGTTTGTACGACATGACTAGGTGTAAATAAATACGCTCAAGTGCTACGATCACGTGAGGACTGTGCGAATAATCGCGGGTCGCCTACAAGTCGGAACCACCTATTGTGGTCTGTACGATAGGACTGTGCACCTACCTTGGGTCCAAGGTGAGCGTAAGGTGCGGGAGGTGAACATCACGTGAAAGACTGTGCCCTGGCCACGGGTGGGAGCACTAACACCGGGGTGCAGGTTTATGAGCTCTCAATACATCTTAACATAACATCTACGACTCATAGGCAACCTATACGACAATGTCGAAGTTGCCTAAAGTATAAATATAGTCATGCCATAATTTGATCATTTCAAGAACACCATAAACTTACCTAAACTTACATGTGCGTCCTGCGTTCCTTTTCGCACTTCAAAGCATTCACAATAATTCCTTACAGGTAGTATACATATGGATATGTCATGATGCAATCTAATACTCAACCACCAGTATATACATACATATATATATATATATATAACATGGCGAAATATGCATAATCTGTAACACCCCACTCTCGAACTATTTATTTCGGGAATAATTATCAGGAACAAGTCTAACTAAATATTAGTTTAATTAACCATCATTATTTACGATTCTTTACTTCACTCTCTCAATGCCTCACACATTGATTTATGACCAACATTTAACCACAAAAAACATAAGGTTAAATCTAACCTTTCCACCAACTTCCTTCACATTGCTCAATTTCCTAAATAAGGCTTTTGTCTCAAATATATTGTGGCTGCATCTAACGCCTCGTTAGACTGCCTACGTACCCTAAACAGGGATCAAGTCATTTGTAGTTCATATTAGTACTTCAAGCATTCACATTAATTATATGAAGGTAATATACCTAAATCAATTTAAAAGTGTTGATAGAACTCTCAATAATATGTACGATAAAAAGGAAAAGATCCACTCACCTGGAGTCCACTCTATGAATCTTTAGCACATGCATCGAGGCGTCCCGAATGATTGGGGCTTGTGACCAATTATCGAATCACATCTCAGAACTCTTATCAATAGAATACGTAATTCACGTAAGACACAACCTCAAGGGCACTCTAAAATAGTTCGAGACCCATTGACCACAAGTCAATAGTCGATCAAAGATCGACGGTATGGTCTACAACCCTGTATAACTCGACCTAGAAGATCCGCATATCAGATTTCCAATCCACAATATGTTTCTAGAATAACATATTAAAATTTCATTACGATACAACGATTGGATCTCCGCCAATTGCCCAAAACCAAGTGGCGGTTAACATTTATTTTACTAACTTACAAATCCAATTCGGGAAGATCCCAAATTCCAAGTTTTTTTTCTACGCGAAAATTCTAAATTTCTATGTTTATGAATCCAAACAAAAGAATTGGTGTCTGTCAATTTATAAATTTTGACTTTTACCAAAATTCTATGTTTATTTCCTTCATTCAAATATAGTGTAAATGTAGAACGACTAGCAAAGACATTTATGGAGCAACTTGACAAGCTTAAATTTTTGTTCCCTCTCTCTTCTTTTTGGGTTGAGGATGTGAAATCGTTTTTCGTTCATCTGCTTTTGATTGAATTAGATTGTCGCTAGGTTGTAAGCATCTTGCGTGACTTGCCTCTTAAAACTAATGTCCATCCTTCATGTCGTCGATGGACGTGTGTAAGTAGTGAGATTGGCACAGTTGGAATGGCCCGCTTCACCAGTTGTCTCCATTGCAGTTGTGTTTGCAGTCTTCGAATTTGCCCCCGGTGATAGAGGTAGGGTATGGCAACGTATGAAGAATCACAGAAAATTTGAATTTGTAAACACGAAATTCCTAAAAACCAATCAAACAAGAATGCGCATACAAAATAATATTTTTTGTATTTATCATTTTCTGGGGTAAATTCTTTACAAAAATTATTTCTCTGATGCTCTCTCCTGCTGTCAAGAAATTATTTCCATCTTCTTTGGCCTTTTCTTTGAATGCTAACTTTGGATGTTCCTTAGTGCTCCTTGTGGTGTTGTTTTGGAGCTGCTATCTTCATCCAATGCGGAACCCAAAACAAGTTTCGGTGGTGCTCATATCCAGAACTCGTTCGGTAGTGTACAACACAAAACACATCCGGACGAGCCATTCACATTGAGATCCATACTTCAATCGGATCTTTTCTTCACAGATTGATTATAATTATATCAAGAGCTTGAATTTTTTTGGCTGCATGACTGAACTTGTGATCCATAAGTTCAAATTTCGTGTGTTCAATATATTTTGTTTTGTAATATGACCGCTTATTCAACACACAGTTTGTTTTGTTCATGTATGCTTACAAGTGAGGGAGCTTTCTTATTGGTGAAATCTCTAATTCGATAATGTTTTAGCAGAACACTGCGAGGGATTTGGTTTGTCCATTTTTTTGTTCCTTAACAGAAAAAAAAAGAGGATATAAATACATAGAGCATGAAGCCCTAGAAATATTCAAACACGAAACTAGTAGTTTATCCACAAAATTACACCATACAAAACATACAAATACTACTGCTCAGTGCAGGCTATTATATTTTACATAGCTAGAGACTCAAACAAAGACACTGGGAACAGAATCAACAGGCATACAGCCCGCCTCCTTGAGCTCAGTCTTAAACCCTTTTTCTTCTCCGTTGGCCAAAGGATGAATCCCAAGATTCGGCCCCGCCATATACGCTCGCTTCTCCCTCTCCTCCTCAAAACTCACCCCATACCGCCTCTCGACGTCTCTCGCGAGCTCCGGTCGCAACTGTCCATCCCTAGTTAAAGCCAGCATAATTTGCGGAATACCGAGCGGCAAATCGTCCCCCCTATCCACCTGCCAAAAATGGATGGTCTTCCCATAAGTCTTGCACAGCTTGTCCAGGTCTTGCCTCTCGATGGGACCCGGAACCCGGGCATGAAGAGAACCCCGCTCTTGACCTCGTATTCATGCGAGTGCCAGAGCGGCTTCTCGCTGTCCGGGAGTTTGAGGAAGAGGGCCTCGGATATGAGATACTCGAGGCCAATGAGCTTGGCGTCAGCAGCTTCACTGTCGTAGATGAGGCACTGACGCATCTCTTCGTTCTGGTGGGCACAGAAGTGGTGTGCTTCAACTTGGCGGGTCATGTCGTGGGAGTAGAAGTGGAAGGCGCAAAGGTGCTGGTGGATGCTTTTGATAGGGCTGAAGTTTTGGACCGCGGCTGTCGCGGTCTCAAGGAAGGCCATGCTCGTCGGGGTTGGCTCGCCGGGAACCTGTGCGTGAGTCGTTGCCATTTTTGATGTTTGGAGAGATTGGTTTGGGTTGTGATGATGATCAGTTGAGAAGAGACTGGTTGATTATATAGCAATGATTTAGGGTTTGAAAATATTGTCACTAGTTTTGTTAGTTGTAGTGAAGTCGTGACAAGTGGCGTAAGAAAGGGTATGAATTGCATGTTGAAGTGAAGTCGTGGAAGAGTTTGAGCTACTTCGTGTGACTGCCTGGCTTAAAAGGGAAACGACACGAGCACAATAAATTGGATTTTTGAGAGTGGCGTGGAAATTAAATTTCCAGCGTAGATTACACTTACCATATGTTTTACATCATATTTGTATCAATTTCCACCGTAGATTACACTTTGTGTTCCTTATATCATATTTTGTACCCATTTTTTTAACAAAAGTAGGCCATCAAACATATGTGCGTTCCATCTTTAATCTTTATTAAAGGTGTGGTATTTTGTAATTCCTTATATGGTATTATGTTCTAAACAAAGTGATATTCTACTCTTCAAGGTACAAATGCAACTCTTACTACGTTTTTCGTATCATATTTACCATCTCTTTAATAAAAATGAGACTTACATGTATTTGTGAACTATTCATCTATTAGATAGTATAATGTCATATATATGTGGATAGTGTAGCATTATTCACTCTAGAAAGAGCAGGATACGATCATACGACTAAGCCACATAATTGGATAGTCTTAACTAGATTTGAAATTAGCATTGCTGTCATAGATCACCATCTATGGGTAATATGAACTTAAAACCTCATTTACAAATAATAATAAAAATTAAAACTAATACTAATCAGTACATACTCCTGCTGGAATAGAAAAATCTGAACCACATTTCTCATCAGGAATTAGTGATACAATTCAAGAGTAAAATCAAGACATTTCCTATTCAATTTGCCAAAAGTTGGATAATTACAAGGCAGTGAAGTAGCAATCAACTTTTTACATTTTTTTTTTTTTTTTTCTTTTTTGAAGTTTCAAATACATTGTGCAGACTTCATGGGCAGACAGACCCCGTCACCTAATCGATATCTTTTACAGCATCCTGCATCAAAAACCAGAAAGATAATCATTTCAACATGGCGTAAAGATTGCCTATTTAGGCATCCGGTTTTCAAAAGGAGAAATGACATTTGACAAACCCTACAAATGACAATGCTTGTCAAAGTGGGAGCTTACCTTTGCTAGTCGTGTTACATAAGCAGCAGCCAATGCTGTGGCTAACAGTCCAAGCCCTAGTGTCAAGAGCTGACCATTTCCTCCAGGCAAACCAACATCAGATTCTTCTTGCTGAAACACCACCAAGACCAAAATGAAAACATTAACAATATGAAGTTAAATACTGCTAAGAAATTCCTATCAATATGACCAGCTGCTTAGTGCCTGTTCATCGAATACTGTTCCGACAAACTTCTCATGTTTTCCAATTGTTCCAGTCTGAACAGCAATAACATGACACTCTTTCCCTAAAAGAGTACAGTTCTGCACTATATCCAAAGCTAATAAGAGATATAAATCATTCAAAACATTCCCTTTAAAATGACAGCTGCTACCAAATGGACCCCAAAAAAGACATAAAAATCCAAAAATTTGCCGGTTCCTTAAATTCTCTAACTATTCATTCTTTAGATTCCCTTGCCATAAGGATTGCAAACAAGTGTAACTAATTTGATAGGATACCCAAGTTACTAACTGCATGAAAACGTGCATTAATACATATGTAGAGCCCAGTGTTGCAGATGCCAGCATGACAATCACCAATGCATCTGGATGTTACGACCCCTTTTCATTTCCCAGACTTGTAACTGCATCAACCACAGAATATAGCAAGGTTGATACAATACCTGACCTAGGTCTGGTAACTATCTATTCTATCATATAGCATAAGAATGTAACTAGGGTGCCAACACTTTTTCACTACGTCAATCTTATGGCAAGTAGCAGTTCTCTAATTTACTCAAAACTATCAGATAAAGAAAAAGAGTTTGATTCGAACATGATGACCCAATAAACATTAACCAGGCACTTACCAATGTAAAAGCTGTCTCTTCATTTGTGGGAGGTTAGATATGTCTAAATTTGCATTACATTGTCCATCTTCACTCATAGTTAGTATTGATGGTTCTAGTCACAAGCATTGTTCATACTACTTAACTTCCATTAAGTGTTACCAGTTATTGCTAATGAGAAAGCAACTCCACAATATTTTCCTCAGTCTACTACTTATTATTAACTTGTTGCAGCATGTTAACTGAGAAAGAAAACCAACCCCTACTTCATAGACCTTATGGACAGGAACATACCACAGCAGAAACAAAGATGTTAACATTATCCCACTACGTTCCCTTTTTCACAACCCGATGATGTGCAATAAGTCAGTTTCTTGATCTATATTTGTCATTTTGTACTATCGTAGCTTCAAAAGAATATTTTTTAAAAGATTTTTAGTCTTATCAAGGAATAATAAGCATAGCCATCTATTAAATTAAAACAATGTAAAGACAAACAATGTGTGTGTTCTTATGTTTCATTTTCACATCTGATCAACGTTATATATCAACTTGAATTATATTGCTTCCGACATATGGTAAGTATTTCTTATCTTGGTCGAATACTTATGGTAAGTTTAAATCATTTGTTTCATACTCATTCACCTAACTCAACTCACATCCCATCTCCTTCAGACAGGAAGATATATATTAATATAAGTTTATCGGTGTAAAACATAGAATTGTCACAAGAGAAAAGTAAAACAGGGAGACTCACAATTATAGCTCGCCCAAATGCACCAGCACTTACGTAAGCCCATGTTCCTGGAAGCATCCCCAACCAACTGCAGGACGATTATAGATTTGACTTAGAACAAGATAGTCAATAATGTTACAAACCTGTTATACCTATTTAGATTAGTTCATGAGATTAGATATCAACTACTTTTGAACGTAAACTACCAGACATGAGTCCTGAGTCCTAACCATCATATTCTCCCCTTTTTTTGAAACATGAAAATTTGAGCCCTTGTGAGGAAATCAATGAACAAGCCATGAACGCAGACTGGCACAGAAGAATCTTCTTAGCCTCAACTTACTAGGTCATCCAATTCGTGTGGCCCGAAAATTTCAGCTAGAGCAACATTGAGTTTCCAAGAGATGATCTCTGAAAAGATTTTGAGCCCAAGCCTTTTTCAGGTAGAGCTTGGGCTTATCCTAGCCTATTATATGCCTGATCCAATTTATTCTTCATAGTTATCTTACGTTTGGTATGAAGATATGTATTTTGTATCTTTAACCTAGAGGTTGCCTGCAAGTTGGTTATTAAGTCATTTCCACAACCTAAGGGGTAACAAGTTGGAACCAGAATACCAAATTTTGTTTAAATTACCAAAACAACTTAGACCTAAACCACTTTGGTCCGACCCAAACTCAGCCTGTAGCTCATCAAATAGGACAGTTTAAGCTGGGTTAAATACTTGGTCCAAATAATCATCCTATAAACCTTACAAATTGAGCTGGGATAAAAAAAAGGTCCTAATTCCAGCTCAACCTGTCTGATTAACAGCCCTAACTCTCAAGAGCGGCCCATAAAAATTTGTATAAAAAAACCCAAGTTGAGATGTAAGAACTTTAACTGAGTGAAAAAGAAGCAGAGCAGCAAACCTTCCCAACACGTATGGTACAAACTTTACAGATGTCAATCCATATAAATAGTTCCCCAATGAAAAGGGAAGCAAAGGGCTCAAGCGAAGGAGAGTGACAACTCTAAATCCATTTTCTCCAATAGCCTTATCAATGGCAAGAAACTTTTTGTTTCCCTCAACCATTTTAAGAATACGCTCACGAGCAAAATATCTAGCAATCAAAAAGGCAACACTAGCAGCAACCTGAAATAGGTAAATACTATAAGGGAAAGAAAAAAATTTAGCACAAATATTGATAATTTGTTCTTTGTATAGTTATAAAAAAAAAAAAAAAAAAAAAAAGGGATAAAAAAAACTCACCGTGCCGCTTATAGAGACGAGAATAGAACCAACAACTGTGCCAAAGAGAAGACCAGCTGACATGGTCAATGGAACTGCTGGAATCGCAAGGATCTACGGAAACATAAGTTTTATTATGTTAGTACTTGAAATGACGGTTTGGCTTTCTATGTCTCATAAATCTAAAACAGATACTAAAAAAAAATAAAATAAAAATATCTGCAAAGGTTGAATGTGGAAATGTACATAAATAGCATAAGGGTGAACAAACAAGTGGGAATAAAAACATATTAAAGGCTAAAATCCATATAGATAGCAATACATTCAAGGAATGGGTATCAAAGGCATACTTCCAGTCCGGCATAAACTGCAACAAACAAAGCATATCCAGCTGGACCATAACCTGTTCACCAAAAGTTTGATGAGATTAAGTCAAATATAGAATTGTATCAAAAAGAAAGAAACAGAAAGCCCAGCGTAATGCTACATATCCTTTTTCTTTTTTTTCTTTTTTTTAATCAAAAGATCATTAAGGTACACGAACTAGCACTTCAAGAAATAACGCAGGAAAGGGAGCACAGTTTTCCCCCGCATATTAAGGGTTGATTGTTAAAAGCCCATTGAGGTAGGTCTTATGTTCATGCACCGCATTAAGGGAATGATTCCATCACAAGGGCTCCCTAAAATCAAACTAAAGCATGTGATTGTACCTAAAAGGGAAGAGAACCTAGGAAGACAACGCATTTAAATATATAACTATATAACTTGAACTCTACACAGTTACACTGTTACTCAAACACACACCGCAGCAACTTCTAAAGCACTGTTTTTCTTATGCACTTTGGTGGGGGCTATTGCAAACTTGAATGGTGAATCTATCAACTGTGGCCAGCGATAGCTTGAACTGCTTATGCAAACTATATTTGGCTAGAGAAAACAGCTAGATGTTTTACCAAAATCTGAGGATGATTTGACTCGCATTAAAATGAAGGCTATTTGCATGGAGATTCTTCCTTGCAGAAAATTCAAAGAAAAGAATGAAAAAACAGAACATGCTTTAATTTTTAGTGGCGTCTTCCAGATCAATTTTGTCTTTGATCTGTATCACTGATATTGTTAGGCTGGTAAACGCTTATGTTCTGTTTGTTATGTGTTTTTTTCTTAATGCTGCTTGTCGTAAGCTGATCAACTGCCTCATTATTCAGATAAGAATTTTCAATCATCATGAATGAAAGAAAACATGAAGAACATATGAATATGGTATTGCAATGTAATGATTAAACTGTTAAGTGCCTTGGACAGATTTTTGTGCCCATAAGTTGCCTAGTTTCTAATCAGTATCACCTGACCCATCCAAAGTCCCTTAAAAGGCTAGACTTCTACATTGTCACATAGCTAAACTATGAGGGTTGAGAAACTGAATTAATAAAACATTGAATCTACCTCGAATCTGTCGAATTCTCCATATTACAATCAATCATATGCCAAATACATACTACAATCATAATGATATCACAAAAAGATCTGAAAAGCTGATATCCGATTTGCGTAAATGGCAATCCTATCCATTCAAAACTAATCATTGCACCCAGAAAAATTCTTAAATAAACCTCAGGTGGGTATACAACAAAACCAAATTCTAACACCAATGAACAAAATCCAAGCAGAATTAACAGAAACCTGAAAAGGATACAAAAATTTGGCAAATTTACCTTCAATGAAAGTGGAAAACTGATTCAAGAAGGCGTTGATTTGATCCTTGTACACATACCCAACACCGGCGAACCCACCAACAATACCGACCAGGACAACACCGGCCAAAACAGTGCCTTTAAACGCAGTGTCGCCGTCAAAGGCGCCATCGTCAGCCTCACCGGTCTTTTCAATTTCAGCGCCGTCGTCGTTCTTGGGGGTGTTGAAGAACCAGCGCTGGCTCTGCGGAGGAGCATTGGGGGTGTTCTGGAGGGACTTCTTCTTGGACTGCTTGAGAGAAGAGCACGGGGTGAGGAAGTGGGAGCGCCTGTTGGGTCGAGAGCTGAAGAGGAAGACGGAGGAGGGAGGAGAGAGGGCGGAGAGGCATGGGAAGAGGAGCGACGACGACGGTGGTGGCGGCCTCAGAATGAGGAGGGTGCGCATTTTAAGTGGTGGGTAGCGTGTAGGATAAGAGCGGGAGGCAGAGCACTGCCATGTATGGTAAGATGGATAATTATTGTGATTTATGAGGGAAATGGAAAGGACTGGAAATTTTGATTTGATGTTTGGATTGAGTGTGGGGCTCTTTTGTGTGCACGACGTCGATTTTATGAAGTTAAAATTCAATTGAAATTTGTGTGGTTGAGATTTGATTTGGGGTAAAAGAGTGATGGAGGACGTGCCATGTATCCTTTTGTTTACCACTCCTCTCGTTGTATTTGTAACGTAGGAGATGGAGTGGAGTGATGGAGTTGTACATGTACATTATTATACGTTAGCCATCTAAATCGGGCAGGTTGGGCGGGTTAGATGAAGCCAACTTGAACTCAACCTTTACAAGCTGGATTGAGGTATAGTTTTGTGTACATGTGAGTTTATTTCAACCGAACTAGAACTTAACTTGAAGCGGTCTTAAGTTTACTTTCTTTTATGTAGATCAATCTCATTGATTAGAGCTTATCCAACGAAACCTCACTTAAGCAATACAATTGAGATCTGTCATATTTTTAGCAGACCAAACCAAGGCTAGTCAATGATCCACCAAAAATAAGTATCATTCATTCTTACGAGACATAAGAAATTAGGAAAGTTTAAGTCCAACAAAATTAGTCTTTACTAATACTGATTAATTGTCCATCTGCAATCCGACCACCACATCAATTCCAAGCACAAACAAAAGCTGGATTGTGGATACACAGTACTAGCAAGCTTCACAAGTACAACTGCTGATGGAATTGCAATCTGATCATATTCCAAAATAGCAGCAACAGTAGTAGGCCGGTGTTCGGATGTTCTCCTTTCTTGCAATCTTCTGAACATATTCAGAAGATTAGCTGCGGTGTAATCTTCTTGCTAAAGATTTCGGCTCCCTGGTTTTCCGGTCAAACCCTCTCACACAAATGAACCCTGCAAAACATAATTACTAATTTTATCAGCAACTGCATTATTTTGCCGTCTGTAGAAAGGAACCACATACATTCACTTTTAAGTGTTACATGCAAATTAAGTTCCACATCATACCTTTCTTAAAGCAGTCCCGGATTTCTTTGGTCAATAAACCTGGTACAGAGAATGTAAGCTAACAAGCAAAATTTTCCAACCACTGTAATCAATTCCAAAACACATACATATACCTATAAACATTCCTGACACACTGTTTCCACAATATAGTGTTCGTCTCCTCAAATGTTGTATCGATGACACAGGAACATCGATTGGGTTTTCACTTGTTTTATAATCAGCTAGCACCTGTTGTTCATATTATTATTTCATCATACCAGTTTGGATAGTTCAAATAATATACTTCCTAAATAAATGTTAAGTTTAGATGAGAAAATAAATAGGCTTTACCTCATTAGCTTGAAAGTATGTTCCATTGAGAGGAAAAGTTCCTCGCATTGCCGTGCGACATGGTATCTGTATGAGGTTAGTTTTTGTTATCTTTTGTAGTTTTGGCATATGAAAAAATGCAGGTTAAAACTTAAAATACATGCCGAGGGTTATGGGTTCTCCTCACCAAAATTGTTCCTAGAACAGTCTGGGCAGTGTCTTCACCATTGCCGCCCAAAAAGTGTCCATTCTCATCAGAGCAAGTGGTTTGACCTTCAGTTGATCCAACAGGATTGGATAGTACCTGAATCAAAAGTTGCACAAACAACACCATCACACCAATGTCGGTTTAAGGACTGCATACTTTTGAAAGATTAAAATACAACCAGACACAACAATTGGCTAATCGCTCTTACCAGATGACCATACAACAAGAAGGTAAGGGCAGGGATCATCAGGTTCTCTTCTTTCTAGCTGCATTTGTTTTTCATGGAAAAAAAATATATACCAGTGTCTGGAAGTCAAATACATCGACATATATGCCAGTATAAAGCTTTAGAGCAAGAATGCTTGAGATTCTAACCCCTTTCAAAATGTGGTGAGCGTCTGGTAAACAAAATTAGTCTTTACTAATACTGATTAATTGTCCATCTGCAATCCGACCACCACATCAAATCCAAGCACAAACAAAAGCTGGATTGTGGATACACAGTACTAGCAAGCTTCACAAGTACAACTGCTGATGGAATTGCAATCTGATCATATTCCAAAATAGCAGCAGCAACAGCAGCAGGCCGGTGTTCGGACGTTCTCCTTTCTTGTAATCTTCAATCTTCTTGCTAAAGGTTTCGGCTCCCTGGTTTTCCGGTCAAACCTCTCACACAAATGAACCCTGCAAAACATAATTACTAATTTTATCAGCAACTGCATTATTTCGCCGTCTGTAGCAAGGAACCACATACATTCACTTTTAAGTGTTACATGCAAATTAATGTTCCACATCATACCTTTCTTAAAGCAGTCCCGGATTTCTTTGGTCAATAAACCTAATACGGAGAATGTAAGCTAACAAGCAAAATTTTCCAATCACTGTAATCAATTTCAAAACACATACATATACCTATAAACATTCCTGAAACACTGTTTCCACAATATAGTGTTCGTCTCCTCAAATGTTGTATCGATGACACAGGAACATCGATTGGGTTTTCACTTGTTTTATAATCAGCTAGCACCTGTTGTTCATATTATTATTTCATCATACCAGTTTGGATAGTTCAAATAATATACTTCCTAAATAAATGTTAGGTTTAGATGAGAAAAGAAATAGGCTTTACCTCATTAGCTTGAAAGTATGTTCCGTTGAGAGGAAAAGTTCCTCGCATTAGCCGTGCGACATGGTATCTGTATGAGGTTAGTTTTTGTTATCTTTTGTAGTTTTGGCATATGAAAAAATGCAAGTTAAAACTTAAAATACATGCTGAGGGTTACTTTCTTTTATGTAGATCAATCTCATTGATTAGTGCTTATCCAACGAAACCTCACTTAAGCAATACAATTGAGATCTGTCATATTTTTAGCAGACCAAACCAAGGCTAGTCAATGATCCACCAAAAATAAGTATCATTCATTCTTACGAGACATAAGAAATTAGGAAAGTTTAAGTCCAACAAAATTAGGCTTTACTAATACTGATTAATTGTTCATCTGCAATCCGACCACCACATCAATTCCAAGCACAAACGAAAGCTGGATTATGGATACACAGTACTAGCAAGCTTCACAAGTACAACTGCTGATGGAATTGCAATCTGATCATATTCCAAAATAGCAGCAGCAACAGCAGCAGGCCGGTGTTCGGACGTTCTCCTTTCTTGTAATCTTCAATCTTCTTGCTAAAGCTTTCGACTCCCTGGTTTTCCGGTCAAAACCCTCTCACACAAATGAACCCTGCAAAACATAATTACTAATTTTATCAGCAACTGCATTATTTCGCTATCTGTAGCAAGGAACCACATACATTCACTTTTAAGTGTTACATGCAAATTAATGTTCCACATCATACCTTTCTTAAAGGAATCCCGGATTTCTTTGGTCAATAAACCTGGTACGAAGAATGTAAGCTAACAAGCAAAATTTTCCAACCACTGTAATCAATTCCAAAACACATACATATACCTATAAACATTCCTGAAACACTGTTTCCACAATATAGTGTTCGTCTCCTCAAATGTTGTATCGATGACACAGGAACATCGATTGGGTTTTCACTTGTTTTATAATCAGCTAGCACCTGTTGTTCATATTATTATTTCATCATACCAGTTTGGATAGTTCAAATAATATACTTCCTAAATAAATGTTAAGTTTAGATGAGAAAAGAAATAGGCTTTACCTCATTAGCTTGAAAGTATGTTCCGTTGAGAGGAAAAGTTCCTCGCATTGCCTGCGACATGGTATCTGTATGAGGTTAGTTTTTGTTATCTTTTGTAGTTTTGGCATATGAAAAAATGCATGTTAAAACTTAAAATACATGTCGAGTGTTACTTTCTTTTATGTAGATCAATCTCATTGATTAGTGCTTATCTAACGAAACCTCACTTAAGCAATACAATTGAGATCTGTCATATTTTTAGCAGACCAAACCAAGGCTAGTCAATGATCCACCAAAAATAAGTATCATTCAATCTTACGAGACATAAGAAATTAGGAAAGTTTAAGTCCAACAAAATTAGTCTTTACTAATACTGATTAATTGTTCATCTGCAATCCGACCACCACATCAATTCCAAGCACAAACGAAAGTTGGATTGTGGATACACAGTACTAGCAAGCTTCACAGGTACAACTGCTGATGGAATTGCAATCTGATCATATTCCAAAATAGCAGCAGCAACAGCAGCAGGCTGGTGTTCGGACATTCTCCTTTCTTGTAATCTTTAATCTTCTTGCTAAAGGTTTCGGCTCCCTGGTTTTCCGGTCAAACCCTCTCACACAAATGAACCCTGCAAAACATAATTACTAATTTTATCAGCAACTGCATTATTTCGCCGTCTGTAGCAAGGAACCACATACATTCACTTTTAAGTGTTACATGCAAATTAATGTTCCACATCATACCTTTCTTAAAGCAGTCCCGGATTTCTTTGGTCAATAAACCTGGTACGGAGAATGTAAGCTAACAAGCTAAATTTTCCAACCACTGTAATCAATTCCGAAACACATACATATACCTATAAACATTCCTGAAACACTGTTTCCACAATATAGTGTTCGTCTCCTCAAATGTTGTATCGATGACACAGGAACATCGATTGGGTTTTCACTTGTTTTATAATCAGCTAGCACCTGTTGTTCATATTATTATGTCATCATACCAGTTTGGATAGTTCAAATAATATACTTCCTAAATAAATGTTAAGTTTAGATGAGAAAAGAAATAGGCTTTACCTCATTAGCTTGAAAGTATGTTCCGTTTGAGAGGAAACGTTCCTCGCATTGCCGTGCGACATGGTATTTGTATGCGGTTAGTTTTTGTTATCTTTTGTAGTTTTGGCATATGAAAAAATGCAGGTTAAAACTTAAAATACATGCCGAGGGTTACTTTCTTTTATGTAGATCAATCTCATTGATTAGTGCTTATCCAACGAAACCTCACTTCAGCATTACAATTGAGATCTGTCATATTTTTGGCAGACCAAACCAAGGCTTGTCAATGATCCACCAAAAATAAGTATCATTCATTCTTACGAGACATAAGAAATTAGGAAAGTTTAAGTCCAACAAAATTAGACTTTACTAATACTGATTAATTGTTCATCTGCAATCCGACCACCACATCAATTCCAAGCACAAACGAAAGCTGGATTGTGGATACACAGTACTAGCAAGCTTCACAAGTACAACTGTTGATGGAATTGCAATCTGATCATATTCCAAAATAGCAGCAGCAACAGCAGCAGGCCGGTCTTCGGACGTTCTCCTTTCTTGTAATCTTTAATCTTCTTGCTAAAGGTTTCGACTCCCTGGTTTTCCGGTCAAACCCTCTCACACAAATGAAACCTGCAAAACATAATTACTAATTTTATCAGCAACTGCATTATTTCGCCATCTGTAGCAAGGAACCACATACATGCACTTTTAAGTGTTACATGCAAATTAATGTTCCACATCATACCTTTCTTAAAGGAATCCCGGATTTCTTTGGTCAATAAACCTGGTACGGAGAATGTAAGCTAACAAGCAAAATTTTCCACCCACTGTAATCAATTCCAAAACACATACATATACCTATAAACATTCCTGAAACACTGTTTCCATAATATAGTGTTCGTCTCCTCAAATGTTGTATCGATGACACAGGAACATCGATTGGGTTTTCACTTGTTTTATAATCAGCTAGCACCTGTTGTTCATATTATTATTTCATCATACCAGTTTGGATAGTTCAAATAATATACATCCTAAATAAATGTTAAGTATAGATGAGAAAAGAAATAGGCTTTACCTCATTAGCTTGAAAGTATGTTCCGTTGAGAGGAAAAGTTCCTCGCATTGCCCTGCGACATGGTATCTGTATGAGGTTAGTTTTTGTTATCTTTTGTAGTTTTGGCATATGAAAAAATGCAGGTTAAAACTTAAAATACATGCCGAGGGTTACTTTCTTTTATGTAGATCAATCTCATTGATTAGTGCTTATCCAACGAAACCTCACTTAAGCAATACAATTGAGATCTGTCATATTTTTAGCAGACCAAACCAAGGCTAGTCAATGATCCACCAAAAATAAGTATCATTCATTCTTACGAGACATAAGAAATTAGGAAAGTTTAAGTCCAACAAAATTAGTCTTTACTAATACTGGTTAATTGTTCATCTGCAATCCGACCACCACATCAATTCCAAGCACAAACGAAAGTTGGATTGTGGATACACAGTACTAGCAAGCTTCACAAGTACAACTGCTGATGGAATTGCAATCTGATCATATTCCAAAATAGCAGCAGCAACAGCAGCAGGCCGGTGTTCGGACGTTCTCCTTTCTTGTAATCTTCAATCTTCTTGCTAAAGGTTTCGGCTCCCTGGTTTTCCGGTCAAACCCTCTCACACAAATGAACTCTCCAAAACATAATTACTAATTTTATCAGCAACTGCATGATTTCGCCGTCTGTAGCAAGGAACCACATACATTCACTTTTAAGTGTTACATGCAAATTAATGTTCCACATCATACCTTTCTTAAAGCAGTCCCGGATTTCTTTGGTCAATAAACCTGGTACGGAGAATGTAAGCTAACAAGCAAAATTTTCCAACCACTGTAATCAATTCCAAAACACATACATATACCTATAAACATTCCTGAAACACTGTTTCCACATTATAGTGTTCGTCTTCTCAAATGTTGTATCGATGACACAGGAACATCGATTGGGTTTTCACTTGTTTTATAATCAGCTAGCACCTGTTGTTCATATTATTATTTCATCATACCAGTTTGGATAGTTCAAATAATATACTTCCTAAATAAATGTTAAGTTTAGATGAGAAAAGAAATAGGTTTTACCTCATTAGCTTGAAAGTATGTTCCGTTGAGAGGAAAAGTTCCTCGCATTGCCGTGCGACATGGTATCTGTATGAGGTTAGTTTTTGTTATCTTTTGTAGTTTTGGCATATGAAAAAATGCAGGTTAAAACTTAAAATACATGCCGAGGGGTTACTTTCTTTATGTAGATCAATCTCATTGATTATGCTTATCCAACAAAACTCACTTTAAGCAATACAATTGAGATCTGTCATAGTTTTAGCCGGCCAACCAAGGCTAGTCAAATGATCCACAAAATAAGTATCAATTCATTCCTACGAGACTAAAAAATTAGGAAGTTTTAAGTCCCACAAAATTAGTCCTTTTACTAATACTGATTAAGTGTTCATACTAGCAATCCAGACCACCACATCATTCCAAGGCACAACGAAAGCTGGATTGTGGATACACAGTACTAGCAAGCTTCACAGTACAACTGTTGATGGAATTGCAATCTGATCATATTCCAAATAGCAGCAGCACAGCAGCAGGCCGGTGTTCGGACGTTCTCCTTTCTTGTAATCTTCAATCTTCTTGCTAAAGGTTTCGACTCCCTGGTTTCTGGTCAAACCCTCTCACACAAATGAACCCTGCAAAACATAATTACTAATTTTATCAGCAACTGCATTATTTCGCCATCTGTAGCAAGGAACCACATACATGCACTTTTAAGTGTTACATGCAAATTAATGTTCCACATCATACCTTTCTTAAAGGAATCCCGGATTTCTTTGGTCAATAAACCTGGTACGGAGAATGTAAGCTAACAAGCAAAATTTTCCACCCACTGTAATCAATTCCAAAACACATACATATACCTATAAACATTCCTGAAACACTGTTTCCACAATATAATGTTCGTCTCCTCAAATGTTGTATCGATGACACAGGAACATCGATTGGGTTTTCACTTGTTTTATAATCAGCTAGCACCTGTTGTTCATATTATTATTTCATCATACCAGTTTGGATAGTTCAAATAATATACTTCCTAAATAAATGTTAAGTATAGATGAGAAAAGAAATAGGATTTACCTCATTAGCTTGAAAGTATGTTCCGTTGAGAGGAAAAGTTCCTCGCATTGCCGTGCGACATGGTATCTGCATGAGGTTAGTTTTTGTTATCTTTTGTAGTTTTGGCATATGAAAAAATGCAGGTTAAAACTTAAAATACATGCCGAGGGTTATGGGTTCTCCTCACCAAAATTGTTCCTAGAACAGTCTGGGCAATGTCTTCACCATTGCCGCCCAAAAATTGTCCATTCTCATCAGAGCAAGTGGTTTGACCTTCAGTTGATCCAACAGGATTGGATAGTTTACCTGAATCAAAAGTTGCACAAACAACACCATCACACCAATGTCGGTTCAAGGAATGCATACTTTTGGGAGATTAAAATACAACCAGACACAACAATTGGCTAATCACTCTTACCAGATGACCATACAACAAGAAGGTAAGGGCAGGGATCATCATGTTCTCTTCTCTCTAGCTGCATTTGTTTTTCATGGAAAAAAAATATATACCAGTGTCTGGAAGTCAAATACATCGACATATATGCCAGTATAAAGCTTTAGAGCAAGAATGCTTGAGATTCTAACCCCTTTCAAAATGTGGTGAGCGTCTGGTAAACAAAATTAGTCTTTACTAATACTGATTAATTGTCCATCTGCAATCCGACCACCACATCAATTCCAAGCACAAACAAAAGCTGGATTGTGGATACACAGTACTAGCAAGCTTCACAAGTACAACTGTTGATGGAATTGCAATCTGATCATATTCCAAAATAGCAGCAGCAACAGCAGCAGCCGGTGTTCGGACGTTCTCCTTTCTTGTAATCTTCTGAACATATTCAGAAGATTAGCTGCGGTGTAATCTTCTTGCTAAAGGTTTCGGCTCCCTGGTTTTCCGGTCAAACCCTCTCACACAAATGAACTCTCCAAAACATAATTACTAATTTTATCAGCAACTGCATTATTTCGCCGTCTGTAGCAAGGAACCACATACATTCACTTTTAAGTGTTACATGCAAATTAATGTTCCACATCATACCTTTCTTAAAGCAGTCCCGGATTTCTTTGGTCAATAAACCTGGTACGGAGAATGTAAGCTAACAAGCAAAATTTTCCAACCACTGTAATCAATTCCAAAACACATACATATACCTATAAACATTCCTGAAACACTGTTTCCACATTATAGTGTTCGTCTCCTCAAATGTTGTATCGATGACACAGGAACATCGATTGGGTTTTCACTTGTTTTATAATCAGCTAGCACCTGTTGTTCATATTATTATTTCATCATACCAGTTTGGATAGTTCAAATAATATACTTCCTAAATAAATGTTAAGTTTAGATGAGAAAAGAAATAGGTTTTACCTCATTAGCTTGAAAGTATGTTCCGTTGAGAGGAAAAGTTCCTCGCATTGCCGTGCGACATGGTATCTGTATGAGGTTAGTTTTTGTTATCTTTTGTAGTTTTGGCATATGAAAAAATGCAGGTTAAAACTTAAAATACATGCCGAGGGTTACTTTCTTTTATGTAGATCAATCTCATTGATTAGTGCTTATCCAACGAAACCTCACTTAAGCAATACAATTGAGATCTGTCATATTTTTAGCAGACCAAACCAAGGCTAGTCAATGATCCACCAAAAATAAGTATCATTCATTCTTACGAGACATAAGAAATTAGGAAAGTTTAAGTCCAACAAAATTAGTCTTTACTAATACTAATTAATTGTTCATCTGCAATCCGACCACCACATCAATTCCAAGCACAAACGAACTAGAACTAGAACTTAACTTGAAGCGGTCTTAAGTTTACTTTCTTTTATGTAGATCAATCTCATTGATTAGAGCTTATCCAAAGAAACCTCACTTAAGCAATACAATTGAGATCTGTCATATTTTTAGCAGACCAAACCAAGGCTAGTCAATGATCCACCAAAAATAAGTATCATTCATTCTTACGAGACATAAGAAATTAGGAAAGTTTAAGTCCAACAAAATTAGTCTTTACTAATACTGATTAATTGTCCATCTGCAATCCGACCACCACATCAATTCCAAGCACAAACAAAAGCTGGATTGTGGATACACAGTACTAGCAAGCTTCACAAGTACAACTGCTGATGGAATTGCAATCTGATCATATTCCAAAATAGCAGCAACAGTAGTAGGCCGGTGTTCGGATGTTCTCCTTTCTTGCAATCTTCTGAACATATTCAGAAGATTAGCTGCGGTGTAATCTTCTTGCTAAAGATTTCGGCTCCCTGGTTTTCCGGTCAAACCCTCTCACACAAATGAACCCTGCAAAACATAATTACTAATTTTATCAGCAACTGCATTATTTTGCCGTCTGTAGAAAGGAACCACATACATTCACTTTTAAGTGTTACATGCAAATTAAAGTTCCACATCATACCTTTCTTAAAGCAGTCCCGGATTTCTTTGGTCAATAAACCTGGTACAGAGAATGTAAGCTAACAAGCAAAATTTTCCAACCACTGTAATCAATTCCAAAACACATACATATACCTATAAACATTCCTGACACACTGTTTCCACAATATAGTGTTCGTCTCCTCAAATGTTGTATCGATGACACAGGAACATCGATTGGGTTTTCACTTGTTTTATAATCAGCTAGCACCTGTTGTTCATATTATTATTTCATCATACCAGTTTGGATAGTTCAAATAATATACTTCCTAAATAAATGTTAAGTTTAGATGAGAAAATAAATAGGCTTTACCTCATTAGCTTGAAAGTATGTTCCATTGAGAGGAAAAGTTCCTCGCATTGCCGTGCGACATGGTATCTGTATGAGGTTAGTTTTTGTTATCTTTTGTAGTTTTGGCATATGAAAAAATGCAGGTTAAAACTTAAAATACATGCCGAGGGTTATGGGTTCTCCTCACCAAAATTGTTCCTAGAACAGTCTGGGCAGTGTCTTCACCATTGCCGCCCAAAAAGTGTCCATTCTCATCAGAGCAAGTGGTTTGACCTTCAGTTGATCCAACAGGATTGGATAGTACCTGAATCAAAAGTTGCACAAACAACACCATCACACCAATGTCGGTTTAAGGACTGCATACTTTTGAAAGATTAAAATACAACCAGACACAACAATTGGCTAATCGCTCTTACCAGATGACCATACAACAAGAAGGTAAGGGCAGGGATCATCAGGTTCTCTTCTTTCTAGCTGCATTTGTTTTTCATGGAAAAAAAATATATACCAGTGTCTGGAAGTCAAATACATCGACATATATGCCAGTATAAAGCTTTAGAGCAAGAATGCTTGAGATTCTAACCCCTTTCAAAATGTGGTGAGCGTCTGGTAAACAAAATTAGTCTTTACTAATACTGATTAATTGTCCATCTGCAATCCGACCACCACATCAAATCCAAGCACAAACAAAAGCTGGATTGTGGATACACAGTACTAGCAAGCTTCACAAGTACAACTGCTGATGGAATTGCAATCTGATCATATTCCAAAATAGCAGCAGCAACAGCAGCAGGCCGGTGTTCGGACGTTCTCCTTTCTTGTAATCTTCAATCTTCTTGCTAAAGGTTTCGGCTCCCTGGTTTTCCGGTCAAACCCTCTCACACAAATGAACCCTGCAAAACATAATTACTAATTTTATCAGCAACTGCATTATTTCGCCGTCTGTAGCAAGGAACCACATACATTCACTTTTAAGTGTTACATGCAAATTAATGTTCCACATCATACCTTTCTTAAAGCAGTCCCGGATTTCTTTGGTCAATAAACCTAATACGGAGAATGTAAGCTAACAAGCAAAATTTTCCAATCACTGTAATCAATTTCAAAACACATACATATACCTATAAACATTCCTGAAACACTGTTTCCACAATATAGTGTTCGTCTCCTCAAATGTTGTATCGATGACACAGGAACATCGATTGGGTTTTCACTTGTTTTATAATCAGCTAGCACCTGTTGTTCATATTATTATTTCATCATACCAGTTTGGATAGTTCAAATAATATACTTCCTAAATAAATGTTAGGTTTAGATGAGAAAAGAAATAGGCTTTACCTCATTAGCTTGAAAGTATGTTCCGTTGAGAGGAAAAGTTCCTCGCATTGCCGTGCGACATGGTATCTGTATGAGGTTAGTTTTTGTTATCTTTTGTAGTTTTGGCATATGAAAAAATGCAAGTTAAAACTTAAAATACATGCTGAGGGTTACTTTCTTTTATGTAGATCAATCTCATTGATTAGTGCTTATCCAACGAAACCTCACTTAAGCAATACAATTGAGATCTGTCATATTTTTAGCAGACCAAACCAAGGCTAGTCAATGATCCACCAAAAATAAGTATCATTCATTCTTACGAGACATAAGAAATTAGGAAAGTTTAAGTCCAACAAAATTAGGCTTTACTAATACTGATTAATTGTTCATCTGCAATCCGACCACCACATCAATTCCAAGCACAAACGAAAGCTGGATTATGGATACACAGTACTAGCAAGCTTCACAAGTACAACTGCTGATGGAATTGCAATCTGATCATATTCCAAAATAGCAGCAGCAACAGCAGCAGGCCGGTGTTCGGACGTTCTCCTTTCTTGTAATCTTCAATCTTCTTGCTAAAGCTTTCGACTCCCTGGTTTTCCGGTCAAAACCCTCTCACACAAATGAACCCTGCAAAACATAATTACTAATTTTATCAGCAACTGCATTATTTCGCTATCTGTAGCAAGGAACCACATACATTCACTTTTAAGTGTTACATGCAAATTAATGTTCCACATCATACCTTTCTTAAAGGAATCCCGGATTTCTTTGGTCAATAAACCTGGTACGAAGAATGTAAGCTAACAAGCAAAATTTTCCAACCACTGTAATCAATTCCAAAACACATACATATACCTATAAACATTCCTGAAACACTGTTTCCACAATATAGTGTTCGTCTCCTCAAATGTTGTATCGATGACACAGGAACATCGATTGGGTTTTCACTTGTTTTATAATCAGCTAGCACCTGTTGTTCATATTATTATTTCATCATACCAGTTTGGATAGTTCAAATAATATACTTCCTAAATAAATGTTAAGTTTAGATGAGAAAAGAAATAGGCTTTACCTCATTAGCTTGAAAGTATGTTCCGTTGAGAGGAAAAGTTCCTCGCATTGCCCTGCGACATGGTATCTGTATGAGGTTAGTTTTTGTTATCTTTTGTAGTTTTGGCATATGAAAAAATGCATGTTAAAACTTAAAATACATGTCGAGTGTTACTTTCTTTTATGTAGATCAATCTCATTGATTAGTGCTTATCTAACGAAACCTCACTTAAGCAATACAATTGAGATCTGTCATATTTTTAGCAGACCAAACCAAGGCTAGTCAATGATCCACCAAAAATAAGTATCATTCAATCTTACGAGACATAAGAAATTAGGAAAGTTTAAGTCCAACAAAATTAGTCTTTACTAATACTGATTAATTGTTCATCTGCAATCCGACCACCACATCAATTCCAAGCACAAACGAAAGTTGGATTGTGGATACACAGTACTAGCAAGCTTCACAGGTACAACTGCTGATGGAATTGCAATCTGATCATATTCCAAAATAGCAGCAGCAACAGCAGCAGGCCGGTGTTCGGACATTCTCCTTTCTTGTAATCTTTAATCTTCTTGCTAAAGGTTTCGGCTCCCTGGTTTTCCGGTCAAACCCTCTCACACAAATGAACCCTGCAAAACATAATTACTAATTTTATCAGCAACTGCATTATTTCGCCGTCTGTAGCAAGGAACCACATACATTCACTTTTAAGTGTTACATGCAAATTAATGTTCCACATCATACCTTTCTTAAAGCAGTCCCGGATTTCTTTGGTCAATAAACCTGGTACGGAG